GGGAGGGCGGGGGGCGGAAAAGGTGGCGAGGTCCTTTTTTTTAGAGAGCGTTCCTCAGAAGGAATCGATGCAGACCTGTTTGTCCAGAACACCTTTTGCTTTTTGTGCAACTGCTTTATATTAACTATACTAAAAAAAATAGCTTTGAAAAAAAAAACCTACTGTATGTAATGGAATTGCAGAATACGCTGCACATGTATTTTATTTAGTTATCCTTGCTTTAAGAATATTGGATGACATTTGCTGACATGTGGGAGAAAATCCCTGACTTTTTTTTTTCCAGCTTTTAAATTGTAACATAGTTGACAGATTTTTTTTCCTTTTCTCCTCCTGTTACCATTGATCGAAGCATTTTTGTACAGTTTTTGTGTTGAAGCTGGGTTTTTTTGATACTTTCCCCACCCCTTCTGTTATCCTACCACTGCCTTTTCTGGCTGTCTTAAACAAAGTTCATATATTTGAAAGGAAAAAAAAAAGAAAAAAAAAAAGTCGTTTTAAAAAAAAAAAGAATAAAAAAAAAAGGAAATGTTTTTCTCCTGCTGCAGTAAATATTTTGCATGATGAATTCCAGGGTCACACTTTCAAAGTTTATCAGTGAAGTAGTGATTAATAACGGGGAGTGTCAAACTATTGAACTTTTGTATAAAAAAACAACAAAAAAAAAACTTTACAAGGTGCCAAGATGTAAAGACAATTTGTTACATGTTTTTTTTCTCAAAGAAAAGCGTTACATTATGAAAGTAGTACCATGTATCAGGTAAAACCGCTGTCAGGAATGAGAGTCGAAGCCTTCCTTGTCCACAAAAAAAAAAAAGTTTGTAAATGTCAAACCTGTCCGGTTTCTGCATTCGACCAGAGGTGAAACGAGAAATCAAGGCTTATGTAGAGCAAGTGACCACAAAAACGACTTCCTTTTCGGATTCTCGCTCGCAAGTCCCATCGCAGGACCCGCACCCCCCTTGCCCGGAGCCCCCGCTGCGGGAGGAGACCGGGACGGGGACCCTGGTGCTACAAACACTGCAGATCATGAGATATTTTATAGATATACCTGCATAAATACAGATATATAAAGTTTTTTAAAAATGATTTTGAACCATTGTAGTTTTCAGATTGCCAATAATCTCACGTTCGTTACAGCATGGGAAAAAAAACCCAGTATGTTTAAACTCTTTTGAAATCCTTTGGTACCTTTGGTTTATGAACTCAGAGTGAGTTTTTGGGTGTTTCAGAGGTCATTTGGTATTCCAGTCTTGCGAGGTGAATTTGCAGCTAACGACTGCGTTTCAATGGGCCCAGAACAGGTAAAACAAAGTTTCTTCTACCCATAAGCCTTGATGAAAATGGTACAGTCCCGACTGTTAGCATGGTGCTTCGTGTGTATGTGCTGCCAGTAACAAGAGTTTTGTTTGTTTTTTTTTTTTGATAAGGCATAAAAGAAACTCATTCCTTACATCAACTGTAATTCCATCATTCCATGTCTGTTGATACAGACAATAAAAAATGTTGTGTAGTCAGTACTAATTACTGACATTATAGCATTCTCAAATGCAATAAAAATGCTGGTTGTTCACACTGGTAATGCACGTTGCCATGTCCTACGTTTTTGGTTTGTTTCTCTCCCCGTGACCCCCGTATCCCATTCCCTGAGGCTGATCCATGGAGCTGGTTGCGTCTCGCCCACGTCCCAGCGCATCCATGGACGTCTCCTTGGGTCTCCCCAAACTGCAGGGTATTTTAGCAGCGGTTTTGTGGGCGGTCGTTGGTGCTTGAGCACCGAGGGAGGAAGATGCGGTCACCAAAAATTCCTCTACTTTTCCAAGCAAGTCCACAGCGCTTGAACCACTGGGGCCATGGGAAGTTGAGGGTCTTTGCTCTCTCATTGCACTCCAAAGGTGGAAGCATGAAAGAGGGGATTTGGGGCCTCAAATCCTTCCCTGTGCAGTGTCCTGGTGAGGGTTCAGTGCAGATTGGACGTGTGCTGAGGGGGGCGGGTTGCAGGATCAGAAACCACCAGGAGCAAAGTCCCAAGTCACGTTGTCACCTGAGAGAAACTTTAAAGGGGAAAAAAACCCACCCGCTTTTCTTTTGAGTAAGCACACATTTATTTTCTTCATCAAGTTCTATAAAGAAAAAATAAAATGTTTAATAACTGGCATTAGCAGCAAACTGAAATTTCAGAGGAGAGATTTTTCATGAATAATTCATTAAAATTTCACATCTGCAAGATTAGTCATCCAAATAAAATGCTAATGTCAAAAACATGCACCGTCTATAATATTCTCATCAAGAAATCTTTTTGCATATAATGATAAATGCTTAAATTAGTACAAATGATTTTATAAAAATATTCTATCATAAAATTATACCAGATAACTGGTTTTTTTTGTGGGGGGGTGGGGGAGAAATCTTTGTACACTCATATGTGTCTAGAAAAGGTATTGAGTGGTAGATTTTAATAATCAATCTAGAGAAAAAATTGAGTTTTGGTAGTGTATTGCATTTAAAAATAGTGAGATTGTTAGTAAAGTGGGCAGGTCCCACTTTGGGGATTAAAATTTTCCTGGTTCGCGGAGGGTGTTAAGCCAGAACTTGGTATTTGTTGTGTGAGGAGAGCTCTGTGTCTCTAAAACACGGGTGGCAAAATACATCCCCAGATGAACCTCCTCAAGGACAGCATGTCCCCATACAGGTCACCAGGAGGGAGCCAGGCAGTCACGAGCTATGATGGCCTCTGTATCCCACCTCCGCAGACATCCCAGCACTGGTGTGCCCATCGCATGTG